GTTTCCCAGCTTTGCTTAACAAGTATCTAGGGAGCAGACTCCATAAAAACTGAATAAATGTTTTTTTGATAAAAGATGAGCAGTTTAAAATGCTTAGCTGAGGAGACTCTGATGAAGGTGGGTTAATGCAGATTGATTCCCTGCACAGCTGGGTCGCCACGTGCCAGCCTGAGACCTGCTCTGGGGGATCTTCCTCTGGAGACCCAGTAGGGAACTGCACAGCAGGCACATATTTACCATGATTGGTTCCGTCTCGATGTGGACTGGGCTCATCTGGTAGGTCAGACTTGGGCTTGGGTTATATTGCTCGTCGTGTCACAGGCAGCTCTTCTTAACTTGAGGCTGAAGTGATTGCTCTTCGATGCTTGAAGCTGTTTTGAGCCCTAATCACTCCTGATGTGCTGAGAGAGGCTGGGGGCCCTGCAGGCTGAAAAAGCAGGCTGGTGCACAAAATTAATAGGAAGATGCTATAAAAGCGCTCTGTCAAGCATTTCTTAAAGCTGTGAAATCTTATAAGATTGTAGTTAAAAGGTGTTGATGTAGGAGTACTTTCCAGTGTTCTAGTTGTGTGTTGAGATTGGAGTTGCTTTTGAGGTGAAACAAGCTGTGTAGACCCTAGGTGCTGTCAACACGCAAGTGTGAGTCACGATGTCAATGTATAGCCAGGGGCCTCGCGTGGGAAGCGGCACCTGGAGGTTTCATGCTTGGGGTTTGCATTTGAATGAAATGTTAGATTACTGCTCATACAGGTATAAGCAGAATTTGAGTGGGCTGTAAACTTGGCTTGTTCTTGTTGGCTTGCTTGATGGCTGTAATGGAGCCAGATCCTTCTCCTGCATGGAGTGAGGGGGAGTTGTACGCAGAGTGGGTTTTGTTAATGCTGCTCAATGACCCTATGGGCCTTATACGTGGTCAGGGATGTTGTTCATTCAGGAGCTTGGTGGTTCTCAAATCTTTCAAAATTTCCTCATTAGCTTTGAATATATGGTATGTGAAACTTCTTAAATATAAACTAAAACAAAGTGCTCTTCGTGCTTCTTGTATAGTAGAGGAATTTGTTCCTTTTTCTTACTAGTGATTAAAACAAGATGTGCTGTATTTTCTCTTTTGCTTTAGGAGGAGAGCTTACCTATGTAGTTTCAATCGTTTCTTTCTACCTTTCGCTGTTACTGCTTGGACAGGTTGGGAAATAGCTTTAATGATGAGTTTCATGGACTTCTTTTCAATTAACCTTTGAACTTCACAGTGTCTTCTGCTTCTATTCCTATTTGCTTAGCTTTACAGGGAGTTACTGAATTGTTTCAGAAGAAATAACTCTAACTCTTTAAAATAAACACCTCCTCTTTTTTTTAATGAGCTGTCTGCCAGGGATCTAGGAAGCATTTGTTGTACAGTCTGTTTGATTTGTGAAGCTGGAAGCCGGTCTATCTGTATGAATGCAAGACGTGACTCTCCAAGGATTGCTGCTGTCTGTTGTGTGTGTGAGGCCAGAATCGATAAATTTGCAAAGGTTCAGGAAACAAGAACTGTCTAAAAGCAGCTTTTCTTGTTTGTCAAGTTAAAGGGTGCAACATAGGGCCCTAAGAATAACTGTTGACAGTATCATGATCTTCAGTTATTGTAATTTTATACTTCTAACCCTTCACATATAATGTATAAGTTGTTTATAATTTGGTAAAATCTATTGAAATGAAACGTAGGCCTGACTTTCCCTTTCTGAATTGTTCTGTCTTCTCCATTCAGACCAAAAAGCAGCCGTGGTATAACAGCACGCTAGCCTCACGACGCAAGCGGCTCACAGCTCATTTTGAGGACCTAGAGCAGTGCTATTTTTCCACCAGGATGACACGTGTCTCGGGTGAGTTCCTCTTGCAGGGTGTTCGGCTTCTGACATCAGTTACCTCTTATAGTACCTAATCCTCAGAAAAGACTTGCTATATGTCTTTGTGTTACTCAGATCATTGCATTTTGCTTTTCTTGACCAATTTTGAAGTTGCTAAATTTAGAAAATTTTATCCTCTGACTTTGGAGGGGCACATGTATTGCTCTGTAATGCTGCACTGTGAAGGGCATAACCCACAATAAACAATTTCATCGATGCTTGTTCTGAAGATGCAAATGTTTGAAAGCCGTGGTTGGGTTGTCTTTCTAATAGATGTGGTATAAATGCAGTAGTTAAAAACATTGCTGTTGAAATACTACAGAGGTATAAACATAAATTGATAAATTCCCCTGTATTTAGCATGCAGTAGAACATTTGGAGGTTATCCTTTATGTTGTCTAGATTGAGTCTTGCTTAACAAATGGCTTGGAGTATAGAAACTGAGTGTGCAGCAGTGTTGTCCCATGGGGCACACCTTAAATCTAAGGCTTGTTTTGTAGAATTAGAAGCTGTTTGCACAATTGCCTAGATTGCCTCATTCATAATTGAGTAACAGTGTGACAGCAGATAGAGTAATTGCAACCTAGTGGATGGATGGTTCTTAATTATGTGACAAGATTCTCTTAAGAAACAAACGGTCAAATGAATATGTCTTGAGGGTGAGGAGGGTTGCTCTCCAGCCCCTCTGGGAAAGAATCCAGCTTTGGGGAAAAAGTTTCAGGCAATGGACTGTGGCAGGCAAGAGATTTGCAGCACCAAGCTGTGAGCTGCAGCTGGTGTGAAGAGTGACAGACTGAAGTGAGGAGCAGGGAGCAGCCAGCCCTCAGGGAACAGGAGAAACTTCCTAGGGACAAGAGGGAACCAGGCAGATGTTGCTGCAGCAGAATGTCTTTGCTTGTAGCCTTGGAAGGCATGGACCAACCTCCCAGGACAGAGATCAGCATGAGAGCTGGGGTAGAAACCCCTGCTATTTTTTTTTTCCTGCCTCCATGAATTTAGTTTAAGTTTTATTCACTTTAAATTAAAGAAATAAAATGAGGCTAGGTTATTACTTTTTAATTAAAAAAGCTTTAAGCTTAAAGGCTACAATGTGTTTTAGGGGAGCCTCAGTCTTAGCGATGTCTATGTCTTCTACCTACTTCAGAGCGGTGACTGACTCGGTCTCATCATGCAGAGCAAAATAATTTTAACAAGGCAGGCAGCACTTTGAGGGTGCTTCAGTAGCTGGAAGATGGGAGAAGCCGGTTGTATGTGACCAGGCAGTTTCCTGTGAAGTGCTAGCTAGCGCTTTGCAGAATACAGTACTTCACACTGCGATGTTTTTGTGCGGTGCTGTCTTGGTGATGCATAACTGTGTTTATGTTAAAATAATACTTATTAACCAAGGGTAACAAATGGGGTTTTTCCCAGCATTCCCTTGTAGAAGACATCTATCTTCATAATTGGAACTATAAATATGAATGTGGTGAAACTGTTCTTTGTATTCATCTGTCAGCCGCACCAAGAGCGGAAGATGTGCAAGTGCGGCTTTTTTTCCTAAATAAGGGATAACCTGTGACACTTGATTAAGTTTTCTTCTCTTAAGTCATTCCTG